CCCGCCGCTAGAGGGGCCCCCCCCCCCCCCGGCCCTTGGCATGCGCGGGCGGCGGCGGGATGGCCTCGGCCGTGTTTGAGGGCACCTCGCTGGTGAACATGTACGTGCGGGGCTGCTGGGTGAACGGCATCCGGCGGCTGATCATCAACCGGCGCGGCGACGAGGAAGAGTTCTTCGAGATCCGCACCGAGTGGTCCGACCGGAACGTCCTCTACTTGCACCGCAGCTACTCCGACCTGGGCCGCCTCTTCAAGCGCCTGCTCGACTCCTTCCCCGAGGACCGGCCCGAGCTGTCACAGTCGCCGTTGCTGCAAGGTGGGCCGGGCTGGGGCTTCCCTCCCTCGCACTCGCCGTCCTTGCCCATCGCCCTTAACTTCCAAGGAAACCGCGGGGCTTCCTCCGGCGGAAGGGGGGTTTTCAGGATCGCGGCCGGGGATGGGGCCCTTGTCACTCCCCCAAGTTCCCTCTAGGTTTTGCTTGCTGGGCCTTCATTGGAGACCGGCTTCTCAGAATCAGGAAACTTTGAAGATAACTTTTTTAAAGTGTGCCCCTGAGCATGGACAGAGTGCCTGTCCAATAGCAGCGCTTAGTTCTGGCCAGGGCACGATGCGGGTGCCTGTTTTGCCACAGAAGATGAGACATGGGCTGTAAAGAACAGAGTGTTTCTGAGAGTGTGCAGAATGCTTTCCCAATAGTAAGGCTTAATGGGATGCAACCCCCCCCGCTTGGCCACCAAGGGTGTAAACCCTGGAACAAGTGAGTGCCTCTGAGCATGTGAAGATCCTGGGAATCGGGGGCCTGGGTCTTCAGGTTTCTTAATAAACTTGATGTGGGGGGGACAATCACTTCTCCTTCTAGAAAGGAAGTGATAATATCTTTTGGATTTGTTTTTAAAAGTCTAGACTGTGCTATCTTCCTGTAGGTCTGCTGAGTTAAAAAAAATAAGAACCAAGGGACACTGTGGGCTTGGTAGATGCTGGCCTGTAATGTATTTATCTGTTTTGGGGGGGGGGGCTACCTGTTTTGCGGATGCATTGGTTTGGTATCCCTCAGCATCCAGACTGGTTACTGTAGTGCCAAATCTGATGTTAGGGAAGTAATAGGAAGAATCAACTGCTTGGTGCAGCTCACACACCCTGACAATGCCAGTCTCTGGCGCAGCTCACTTGCATGACTTTGCCCCCAGCCCTTTGGGTTATCAGCCGTCAGGGATCACCTCTGTGAAGTGTTGCCTGTGCTGATTCAGCACTATTGCAGTTGACACACTTTTAGTGTGTCAACAGGTAGGAGAGGTGAGTCACTGAGGGGATATCTAGTCAAGGACTCTGTGCCAGAGGTCGGAGGCTGAGGTGAGAAGCCTTGGGTGGGCTTGATGGCCTCTTCCAGTCCTCTGTGTCTCCAGATTTTTAAGCAGAATAGTAAAGGCTCAGGGCAAGTGATAAACTGCTTGAAGCATATCTGAAAACAGATATATGTATTTTAGACAAAGCCTCAAGTGGCATGCCTCGGATTTAAAGTGATTCCCAAATGGGTTGGTCTTATAGTAGACATAATTGATGTCGAGGGCTTAAGCTTTCTGAAATCCAAAGTGGGAGGAATTCCCATAGTTAGGGGTCTGCTGCTCTTAAGCATGACTATTCGTATATTCTTGCACTCGAGATGTGACACCAAGCTGGAGTGCGTCAGTTCCTGATAGCTGTTTCTTAAGAACTGCCCACACACCAACTCTGTCTTAACCCTGGATTGCACGAAGACAAGAATAGGCGTTCTTTTTATGGTCTTGCAATCCCGGTTTGACACAGGATTGGTGTGGACAGGAGGCTACAGGTGGTCAGTGTAGATACTGGGGTAGAATGATTCCCACCACCAACCAGGCTTTCTTGAACAGAAGTTAGTTCTCCATGCTCTGTACCAAATTAATCTTCCAAATAATCATCAGATAAAACTGGGAGGCACTTGTGAAAACTAGGGCTCCACTGAATAAAAATGGGGCTTACATCTGAGTAGATTTGTTTAGGACGTCTGCTTGGTTTTGTGTTTCCTGAGCCTGTACTTCAAATGTGGCAACTACATAAGTGCATTTTTACATCTGGTTTTTAAATGGCTCTCTTCTGCTTTCTGTCGCACCATTGCAAGTGCCTAAAGGCCCTTTTACTTTAATGCAGTGGTTGTTTAACTTTTGAAGTGAAGTCCATTTGTTAACTTACTGTACTTTTCAGGAACCCACTCGCAAAGTTACTCCATGCTGCTTTCTCCTCCCCGATATAAAATGGAGGATTCTTCCAACAGTTGCCACTAAACAAGTTTGATTCCCCCCCAAATTTACTATTGATAAAAAATATAGCATTACAATCATCTTAGCCCATGGCAGGTTCTACTATACATTACAGCTGTTATGAACATTGAAAATCTTCCTTGATAATTGTGAGACATTTCTCATGTCAAGCAGAGGGAAATGCAAGTTTGCCATGGGGGCTTCATTTCCCATCCTGTCCTTTCTTCCTGGCATTGCAATTTACCTGCAAAGGAATCACGATCCACTTTTGGGTCCTGTCCCACATTTTGAGAATTGCTAGTTTAAAAGTGTAAAAATGTCCCCATGGTAGATTCTCAGCCTACTGCCGCTTGTAGTATTCAGAAGGATAAAGTGTCGTGGGTTTTTTAAATGCCAAGATTGTAATGTGTCAGCACATTTAATATGTAAGCAATCTGTCCTTTAAAAAAAAAAATTCTTCCCGACAATCTTGTGATGTCACTGTGATGGTCTATGGCATCATTTTAGGTATTAGGTCATAGATGTGCGGTGTGTGAAGCTGCCTTGGAAAGCATCCTGAAAACTTTGCATGTTCCAAAATGTGGAGGTTTCTGTTGATAGGCATCGGCCACTAAACGCTTTGAAAATGTCTGGTCTGAACCAGCTTCCTTATGTGTTTCCTGGGTCAATTCATGATGCTGGCTGTTACCCTCAAAACCCTTCACTATGTGAGACCTTCATATCTGAAGGAGCAGCTCTCCCGGTGTCCACCCGTGGGCCACTTGAGGTTCTCTCGGCTAATGTTCTTGAGGCACCCGCTGTTCTTCCTGGCTTGGGCCTCACTGGTCGGATCTGGCGCCTTTTCCATTGCTGTGTCTGTTGCTTCTGTGGGAAATAGCAGAAAGCCCCTTTGTTGATCAGGGTGTGAAGGTTAGGCAAGGTGGTGGCGTTTCAAAAGATATTTCCAGATTAAATAATTATTGGTATATAGGGGTTTGTTGCTCTTGGTTGGGGTATAATTTCTAATGAATAAATTGTACACAGGATTCCAAATATGAGAGAAGCAGGTGTAATTATTTCGGACAGCTTTAAGCAATGAAAGATGTAAGCGGGAGGATACTGCCATCTTGCTTTTGTTTGTCTGGGGGGTGGTTGGTGTTATAGCCAATTTATATGTTGAGAAAACGACTATACCGCTTGCAGATGGGATGGTTGTACCATGTTGAATGTTTCCCTTTTTAAAGAACAAAGGGGGGGGGGATGAACAGGAATTGTTAGAATCCCTTTTCCTGACATGCTACATTTCCATGTGCTGGGAGTTTGGGACTGGAGGACAAGTTGGATATATAGGATCTTCCACCTGCCATTGGAGAAGGTGGGACTGTATATAGATTGGCCTTTATGTGCGAAGGCCGTTTGTCCATAATGGCACATTCAGTAGCCACTGGAACATTTTGCCTTTCCCTGTTATCTCTAGCGAACAGTTTAGGGGTGTGAAGAAAACGAGAAGGACCCATGTCGCTTGAGAGCTGGCTCTGGATTGGTTGGGGGAAATGCCACCAAGGGAATAAACTTGCTTGTCCCCTGTGTGACACTGTGTGGAGTCATGGATGCACGTGCCAAATGGATGTCAGGCAGAAGAAAACAAACGTTCCCGAGTCACTTTGAAGCGCTGGGCAGGCAGTGGGGGTCTGTTGTCATAGTTTGGCTCCGATTGCTGAGAAACAGAACTGGATAATCAGGCACTGTGTCTACAGACTGTGGCTCACTGATGAAGCCTTGGAATACAAGTAAAGGCAGGAATAAAGAGATGTAGGGTCTGTTTAGACAGGAGAACCTAGCTGGGCTCCTCTACTTTTCCACGCTACAGACTCTGCTCCATTATGTAGGGAAGCTCAAAGGTAAAGTTCTATAGAGACTGATTCACACATTAGAATACACTGGTTAGGGCTGGGTCCCCGCCCGCCCTATGTAACAGACGTGAGTTGCAGGTTCTCCTCCGTTCTCATGAATGCTGTGCCAAATTTGGACTGTGACCACAGCAGACATGGAGAAGGGGCATCAGTCATCCTCTCTGTGCCAACCTGAAGTGGTCCCAGAGCTATTTGGTTCACTGTGGAAACCCACAGGTATCCCAGAATACAAGTGGGTATACAAGTAGGCCAAATAGCACCCCCTCCCAAGATTGTTCCAGGTTGGGGGGGGGGCTGAAGCTCCTGCTGCAAGTGTGCTACAGTCCTGACCCAAATTGGGCCGCATACTTGCAGGAACTGTGTAGACCTCGCTGCTCCCATCTGATTGTTACACAGCGTGGGGACCCCAGACCCAGAATGTATGTTCTGTGATGTATGACTCCATCTGTACTGCAACTGTACTGGCACAGGAAAAGAAAGAAACTGGAGGGATTTGTCCTCCTGACCCTGTCCTCTGTGATACCATCCTGCATTTGGGGTGCTGGAAAGTGCCATTAAGTCCAGCTGACTGATGGTGACCTTGCAGGGTTTTCAAGGCAAGAGACACATTCAGAGATGGATGAAGAACAGGTAGCCATGTTAGTCTGTCTGTAGCAGTAGAAAAGAGCAAGAGTCCAGTAGAACCTTAAAGACCAACCAAATTTGTGGCAGGGTAGGCGCTTGCGTGAGTCACTGCTCACTTCTTCAGGTATATGGGACCTTCAGGTATCTGAAGGAGTGAGCAGTGACTCACAAAAGCTCCTACCCTGCCGCAAATTTTGTTAGTCTTTAAGGTGCTGCTACATTCAGAGATGGTTTGCCATTGCCTGCCTCCACGTCACAATCTGGTGGTCTGTCAGGTCCATGGAGCGTATGTTCTTTAGCTGCCCGTATTATAAGGAGCCTAGTTTGGAGATTATTACTCCGTTGCTGGATAAGATTCCTGGTTGCACAAACAAAGCCAGGCTTGATTGCCTTTTATCTGATAAGAACTGTAAGATCACTTATCAAGTAGCTAGATTTTGAGCACTGAATTGTATTTTAAATAGGTTTTAAATTCAATTTTTTGGGGGAGGGGTATATTTTGTATTCTGTATGCTCGTAAAATC